ATATATGAAAATTAGTAATAATACCTTTTGAACCGCGTCGGACACCATGTCATGCATGTGAGGTATGCGTGTCCGCGTTGGAAACGGAGAAGCTCGGTTACCGTATCCGAACCTTATATATTACTATGACAACAAAGCCTCTCGGTTCGTTCTAAGTTCACCCCGCACTACCGAACATAAGGAAAATTTCTTGCCAATAATCATCAGTAAACTACCTAAAGAGATAAAGAAAAAATCTAATTCAAAACAATATATTGATGAATTTTTCTATATATATATATTACTCATCTTGCTTGAGTGGGCCTCAAACTCTCATAGAACCCTAAGAATTAGTTTCATTCAATTGTATCAACCGATGTTGTGCAGAAAATGTCTTTTTGGCAGGTAATATATGTGGAAGTTTAATATTATCTTATTAAGATTAATAATTAGGTTTATATTCATTATAAAATTCTTTTCCTGCAAGAAACTAATCGAAGCCATCAATTTTGAACCGGAACCTTTATTTGTTCACATGGGTTGGATTTGAGAACTGCACAGAGACTTGATCTCAAAAAATGAGAAAAGTAAACAAAATCACATTAGAAAGGTGTTTTTTTTCTTGCTTCAATGTTGTATTGTCTTTTCAATAATAGCTATGAACTTTAACGATCAATGCCTTCAATTTTGTCCTCCACCTCCGAATACAACTGCCTGAGCTTCTCAATATTCTCTTCTGCAGTTTCCCAGTAACCACGTCCATTGGCTTCCAAGAATGTCTGCACCAGCTTTCTGAAGGAGTTTGGATTAGTGTTCATGAGCTTGTTCAGCATTTGCTCATCTTGAATGAAAGTTGTGTTGGCTTCTTCGTACACCCAGTTGTCAACTTGGCCTGAAGTTGCACTCCATCCCACTGTATTGGTCAGTCTTTTCTCAATCTCACGAACACCTTCATACCCAGTAGACAACATGCCTTCATACCACTTTGGGTTCAACAGTTTGGTTCTTGCGTCAAGTCTAACTGTCTCAGAAAGTGTGCGAACCTGAAAGCATTATGTATCAAGAAGGTCATTACAAATTCTTTGTTGAAGTGTGTAAGTTTATTTTAGTTAATAGAGAAGCTTAATTAATTTTACTTCTCCTGTTGGTATTTCTTGCACAGTTTATCCAAATACGCCAGAGTCAATGAGATCTGAGGATATTTTCTATAGTTTGGAGAAATGTCAAAACCAAGTTTGAAAATAGGAGATTCAATGGAACAATTTATACCTGAGCATTGGCTGTAGTTGTATCGGCAATGTATGCACTGGGCTTCTTCCCATCTTTCCTTAGATTTTGAACCAGATTAGTTGGATCAGAGTCAAAGTAATGGCTAACATCAGTGAGGGAAATTTCTGATGAATCAAGGTTTTGGAATGTGGCATCTGCTGTGCTGAGAGCCATCTCAAAAACTTTTCTTTTCTCAGTCATGCCAGCACCAGGGGCATCACAATCAAAGGCAAAAGACTTTCTGCTAAGATACATGTCCTGAAGCTGCTTCTCATCATTCCATGACGAATTCTCCACAGCCAGGTTTATGTTTGAGGAGTAGGAGCCGGAGGCATTGGAGAAGATCCTAGTTGCTGCCTCTCGAACTTCAACTCCAAGGGCTTGAGCTTGTTCTAACGCATGCTTTCTTACATAGTTTTGCTCTGCTGGTTCATCTAATTCAGCAACCATTTTCACTGCTCTGTCTAGAAGGTTCATCTGAGTAATGAATAGAAAAATAAATAAATGAGCAACCAAAGCAATGTACCAACAAACAGCCTAATAAAATACATATAATAAAGCTCCTGTGTAAACTTTTAACTCAATCATCATCAGAGTTTTTGATGTAGCAACCTCAGGCTTTCATTTCTTTGAAGTATACTAATTATTGAGATGTGAGAAAAATGTTGGAACTCGGAAATATTTCCTGTAATATGACTCTTCTAGCAACCGTTTTAAAATATGAAGAGTGCAACTGCAAGTTGCAATTCTGAACAAATAATGACAATATTTCACAAAATGATGTAACACGAGGAATACTAAATTGGTCTAAACCCCCATTAATGGAAAAACAACAAGAGAAGTAATACCTGATTGATGAAAAGATCTCTAAACACTCCTGAGCAGTTAACAACAACATCAATCCTAGGCCTTCCAAGCTCTTCAAGACTTACAGGTTCCACCCGATTTACCCGACCAAGGGTATCAGCCACTGGCAATACACCAATCATCCACAAGACTTGAGCCAGTGATTCACCATATGTTTTAATATTATCAGTTCCCCACAATACAAGGGCAATTGTCTCTGGATATTTTCCACCATTCTCAACTTTCTGCCTCTCAATCAACCTGTCTACCACTATTTTAGCACTCTGCATTGCAGCAGTTGTAGGAATAGCTTGTGGGTCCAAGGCATGGATATTCTTTCCCGTTGGCAAAACTTTAGGATTTCTTATTGGATCACCACCAGGCCCTGGCTCCACATATTTACCTTCCAAGGCTTGCTTTAAACTTCCCACTTCATTATCAGCCACAACCAACTTCAAGCATTCTCCCAGGAACATAAACAAGATTCTAAGTTTTTCCCTATCAGCTCGGTAAAATTTGGTGTTTGACAAGTACTGAATCCATGGCTCATTTATGCCAAATCCAAGGATTGAGCTAAGCTTATCAGCTACATCAACAACTTGACCCTTACTATTGGTAGCGCGCTCCACAAAGGAAGTTATTGCTCCACGTGACGCCTCTGTTATTTGCCTAAGAAGTTCTACATCCTTCAATATTCCTTTGTTACTTCCTCTGTACACATCTTCTATATCTCTTCCAACAGTTTCAGCTAATATTGATGGAAGAGAAGAAATATTATCTTCAGGACGATCAAGTGCAGCAATGTTCACCAGTGTAGCAACTGCTTCCATAGCTGAGGGAGGCTCTCCAATGACATGAAGCCCACAAGGTAACAGACGAGACTCAATCTCCATGATCTTGGAATACACCTGTCCAACCACCAGATCACGCTCTTTAGGTGGAATCTCCTCACCCTCGTCTGGCAGTGTCACATCTTTGTCAAGATTACACTGTTTAGCTGTGCTGATAATTGAACTCACAATTTGTGCCCCACGGCCGGTGTCTTTGAGGGACTGATATGAGGAGATGAGCTCACTTAACTGCTTAAGACCTTTGTACAGTCCAGCATTTTCCGCTGGAGGAGTCAGATAGCTAATGGTGTTTGCATAACTTCTGCGCTTGGCTATGGTGGCCTCAGAAGGGTTGTTTGCAGCATAGTAATAAACATTTGGAATATTACCAATTAGACTGTCAGGATAACAGACATCACTCATCCCCACCTGTTTTCCAGGCATGAATTCAAGGGAACCATGCGTACCAAAATGAAGCACAGCATCAGCTTTGAAGATTTTCTCAACAAATGAATAAAATGCTGCAAATCCATGATGAGGGCTGGCAGATTTGGAGAAAAGCAGCCTCATTGGATCCCCTTCATAGCCAAATGTAGGCTGAACACCTATGAAGACATTACCGTATTGTTTCCCATATACCAACAGATTTTCTCCATCTGCATTCAGATTGCCAGGGGGTTTCCCCCAATTCTCTTCCAGTGCCGTGGAATAAGGAGTCAAATTTTGGTACTCTCGAACGCTCATTTTGTAAGCAACGTTCAAGTTTGGACTGCTGAATTGAGCTTCTTTGTCATGAATTACGTCTTCGATCAAAGCTTCTGGAGTCTCTGGAAGGCCGTCAACATTATAACCATCTTGTTTTAGTTCTTTCATAACTGAGTATATGGAGGCAAAGACATTCAGATAGGCAGCAGTTCCCACATTTCCTTTGTCCGGAGGGAAACTGAAGACGGTGATTGCTAGTTTCTTCTCTTCCTGCATGGATGCGATTTATTTAGCAAATTCCATTAACAAAAGTCAACTGTTCAAAGAGGATAGATGAGAAAATGGTGCAAATTCAAAATGCTGATAAATGTAAGAAAGTAATACTTCAGTTCACTGCATACAGATGGATTACAGTACAACCAAGATCGAAGACAATAAGATGGGGGAATTTTTCGACACTAAATAAAAAAATTTTAAAAAAAAATCATACATGAATAAATTAACATTGTTCCACAATGTAGTTTTGAGAAGAAAAAAATTATTTTATTTCCTACTATTGATGTTCTTCTATTCAAAAAGGAAAAGGAATAGAGAGGGAGCTAACAAGGTTGAAACTTGAAACATGTAACTCGCAAATCCAGACCAAAATAAATATAGACTTAAATAGAATGTACATGTTGCGTTTTACTGTAAAAAGACACTGAACTATGCTTTCAAACAACAGAGTTTTCAAGCAGACATTACATGCAAGTCATTTCTCCTTTGAGTAATGTCAAATGAAAATCCTTTTTCTAAGAAATTATCTTCTTATTCATCGAAATTAGCTTTATAATTGATACAGAGAAAATATAGAGAAAATTCATATTGGGTATCAGCTTAAATCTTTACTAGATTATTTCCATAATGAATATTTATTCAAACAAATAAAAGAAAAGGGCTTACTCTAATTTGTCTGAACTTTTCTCCGATTTCTTATTCTAGTTCCTAATGTAAATTTTGACAAATCAACACTCTTTTTAGTCAAGCGACTTGTCATGTCATCAAAAAGTCTTGCAGGATTCTCAGGTGTAATTTGTTATATAAACTATGCTTCTAATCTCACATATGTTCAGACAAGTTAATGACATCAAACTAGTTGATGAGAAAGTAAAAAGTACACATGGTTATTCCGTCAAACTCCTTGATGGCATGGCAAGTCACCAGGCTGCCAAAATCACTATTATGTCATTAATTGATATTGTAACTTGATATCAAGGAATACATCTGGTAACAGAAAAAAGCTCTGAACTTTGACTAGTCAAAATTCAAATTAGGGGATAAAAACAGAAATCTGAAAAAATTTAGGGACAAAATAGATACTAAACCATGAGTGTGCGTGTGTGAATAGGTTTGTTGTCATTAGACCTTTAATGGTACAATTTTAGGATTATTGCACGCAAAATTGCAAAATATGTAGCAGGCTTGGTTAAAGTCCGACTTAAACTGGGTATACATACATACATACATACATACATATATATATATATATATATATATATATATATAGAGAGAGAGAGAGAGAGAGAGAGGTTCAAAAACTGGCAAATACCTTTGATTTTCTTTTCAATTCAGCCCATCTGATTGCCCTGATGCAGAGTTGCTCCACTCTCTTATGAAGAGCGTGAGATTTTCCTGAAATTACACCAATTAATCAATAAACAACAGATAAAGTCTGCAAAATGATAAATTTTGAATATCTCTATTGATTCCAATATCATGCTTTTATGGAAATGTTAATTTATTAGTTCTGAAAAGAAAATTATCCTAGATTCCTATCTATAGATTAATGCTTAAAACATAAAACTTAATACATCTGCATCATAATAGTCATCACGAAAAGTTTAAAGTGGGTTGTAAAGAAAAGAGATCATGGTTACCTGTTTTAGGATCGCGACCAGCGAAAACGATTGGCTCCATGCCTCCATCTAGCTCTGGCAGAGCAACTTGAAGAGCAACCTGTATTGGATGCAGACCAAGAGTGCTGTTGAGCCATTCTTCTGTTGTCTGAAACACCAGTGGCAGGGCAACAATGTAAGGAACATCAAGTTTCATCAAAGCCTCAACAGCCCTTGGATGGTCCTGCCTTGCTGGCCCTCCAACAAGAGCAAAGCCAGTGAGGGATACTACAGAATTCACAAACGGTTTCTTCGTAATTGGATCGATGAAGAACTTCTCCACTGGCCCTGAAAAGTCAAGTCCACCAGCAAAAATGGGAATGACCTTAGCCCCTCTAGCTTCCAGCTCCATGATCACAGCCACATAGTGTCCATCATCACCAGTCACAATATGACTCCTTTGCAAAACCAAACCAATGACAGGTGCATTCGTAGACTTCAGCTTCTCATTTGCATCCCTTCTAGTACCATACCAATTCAAATACTCCTTCACATCATCGTACATACAGGGAGCCAAAGGGTGCCAAATTCCATTGTCCAAGTACAAAACCGGCTCAGAATACTCGATCTTTGTACCTTTCAGTGCTGGAATATAAGATCCACTAATCATTTTCAGGAAATTCTGCAAGTTATCAGGAGATCCTCCAAGCCAAAATTGCAGACTCAGTATATAGAGCCTGGCATCCTGAGCTTTATCACTTGGCAAATACTTCAAAACCTTTGGCAATGTCCTCACAAGCTTCAACATGCTGTCGGCAAAGCCAGCAGACTGAGGCTTCTTTCTCTTGAAAAGCTGGAAAAAGGGACTCTTAGATTGCCCAAGCTGTGACATGCTGAAGGAACCCAACTTGTTAAGCCTCATCACTTCAGGCATTGATGGAAACACCAAAACTGCATCAAGCCTGTCCCTTTCTTTCTCAACTGCAGCTTTGATCTTGAGAGCAAGCTCCTCCACAAAAATCAAAGACCCAATGAAGACGTTAGCATCCTCCAAGTCCTTGCAGAAAGTCTCGTACGTTGAAGCGTCTCGAAGCTCCTCAACCAAGTAACCCACAACCTCAAAGGAAGCATGTTTCCTTTTACTGTTGAGAGCCACGACTGCAGCAGTGAGAGATGATTGGTACTGGGCCTCAAGGACCACATACACAATTTTAACCGTTGGCAAGTTTTGGTCATTCTCTGGGACAATTCTACGAACTTCTGGGTTGGTTTGGGTGAATAGACCATTGCCAACGGCAGCACATTTCACTCTCAGAGAGGATTTTGAGCTACCATTATAACCAGCCTTCTTGGGAAGGAAAGAATGAAGAAAAAGACGCTTTTGGGCAAGAGAATGAAGCTGGTCAGGTTTAGAGCTTGGTAGAGTAAACGGTGAAGATACTAAAGAAGCCATTGATGATCAAGTTAAGTAAGTAGAAAACAACCAATTTCTCTTACAACAAACTGAAGACTAGAGAAGGGAAAGGAACACAAGTCAAGCAAAGAGAAAATTGCTTTGAAAGAAAAACTCAGGGCACTGAGGAGCTTGTTCTGTTCTGCTCCCAAAGTTATGCACCCATTTCAAAGGTGTGTTCTTTCTCTTATGTGGGTTTCTGGAACTGTTGGATTTTGTGTTTTGTGTGGATGAAACTGAAAGAAAAATAAGAAGCAGAGAATTAAAACAATTGGTAATTTCAGTTAGTGGTGAGAGTTAAGACCACGTGGCCCAATGGATTGTTTGTAGGAATTAAAAAATTTTGAGCTTTTGTTAGTGTTACAGTGTTTATGTAAGAGAGTGACAAGGTGGATGACACGTCCATGTTTGCACTATCTGTTAGTACCATAGCTATATCTCTCTATCTGTTGGGTTCTCATGCGATGGAGTCTCTTGAAATCTGATTGGTGGAAGTGGATTTCCTCAAAAGTGGTCGTAGGGGAGAGAGAAAAGGAGTGAATATCTGATGACGAGGATGAGAGAGAAACTTTGAGATTTTTTCTTCGGAAGAGGTGGAAGGACTTTTAGCTTCCATACAGATTCTTTGCTTTTAGAATTTGTGTTCCACATTGAAAAGCGTCAGTAGTGTGTACTTTGTCTTACGTTTGCATTAAACTTACCACAGGTTCCCACAGATCCATTGTGTTGCTTCTCTCTCTTTTTCTTGTAATTCAAATTACGATTTTTACGTTAACATTCTAATGATGTCTTAAGGGTACAACAACTGCTAAAAAGTATCTTAAAATAGTGAGAAAAACAATAAATGAGATACGAGATTCCCAATTTTTTATTTATAATAGGTAAAAATTGTCACCTGATGATAAAATAAATTTATAATATAAATTAGTGTAAAATTTTATTTTATAAATTATAAAGTGAAATTGTGTTAAATTTAAAATCTATTTCTTAATATAATATTAGAATCAAGATTAAAATTTATTTTATTATTTTTATTTGTTAAATATATTATTTTTGTTTATCATCCTACATTGTTAATAATATTTATGAATATAATTAAAAAAATTGTTTTTGGTTTGGTTATTATTTTTTTTTCATAATAAAACCCACTGCATTACTTCCTTTATAAAATAAAGTTAAAGATAGTTGATTATGTCGAATTCCAATTTTTTTTTAACATGGGTTTTAAAGATAGTACAAATTCTTATAATTTTAAAAACCTAAACGAAGAAAGACTAACAAGAAAAATAAAGGAATTGAACTCTTTGTTATTAATATTTTGTGCGGTGTTTAGTGAATAATTTATTTAATTTTAATAAAAAAAATTGCTTAGTTATTTCAAGAAAATAAAAAGTATAATAAATTTAGCTGCCACTAAATGTAATAAAAAGTTATTAAATTTTAATGTCGTGCCACAACTTAATGATTAACCAACCAAAGTGCAATGAACTAAATAACATTAGTCAAATCATTAACGATTTACTAACAAAACTAGTTAAAATTCAAATTGAAATAAAACAAAAAAACCTATTATATGAACACTAGTCAATTTTTAACTGTTATACAAAACCAAAAAAAGTTGTCAAATTTTTTGTATTATAAATTTGGTCGATACAATGAGTTCATGATGAATTACAACCTTCTCAAATTATTATATTTTACTCAACAACTAAGTTTTTTTGTTCTTTTTACAATCGTTCCTTTCCAATAATGAGTAAATGATCATACACCTTGTTGGCATAAACTTCACAATAATTGAAACATCTAGACAGCCTATAGTTTTCAACAACTCAACATTAAAAGGGAAAGAAAAACTAAGTCCCCCAATCTTAATTTAGCTAACATTCATATTGATATGACATAGAGAGTTGGGAATGAAAATCTCTAAACGGATTCGAGGCAAAATTTGTAGCCCATCAACCATTGAATTGGAAGAATAAGTCTCACTTTCTTTTCTTCTTCAGAGGTCTTAAAAAATTGTCCAAGAAGTTTGTTTTCTAAGAGNGATGGAGTCTCTTGAAATCTGATTGGTGGAAGTGGATTTCCTCAAAAGTGGTCGTAGGGGAGAGAGAAAAGGAGTGAATATCTGATGACGAGGATGAGAGAGAAACTTTGAGATTTTTTCTTCGGAAGAGGTGGAAGGACTTTTAGCTTCCATACAGATTCTTTGCTTTTAGAATTTGTGTTCCACATTGAAAAGCGTCAGTAGTGTGTACTTTGTCTTACGTTTGCATTAAACTTACCACAGGTTCCCACAGATCCATTGTGTTGCTTCTCTCTCTTTTTCTTGTAATTCAAATTACGATTTTTACGTTAACATTCTAATGATGTCTTAAGGGTACAACAACTGCTAAAAAGTATCTTAAAATAGTGAGAAAAACAATAAATGAGATACGAGATTCCCAATTTTTTATTTATAATAGGTAAAAATTGTCACCTGATGATAAAATAAATTTATAATATAAATTAGTGTAAAATTTTATTTTATAAATTATAAAGTGAAATTGTGTTAAATTTAAAATCTATTTCTTAATATAATATTAGAATCAAGATTAAAATTTATTTTATTATTTTTATTTGTTAAATATATTATTTTTGTTTATCATCCTACATTGTTAATAATATTTATGAATATAATTAAAAAAATTGTTTTTGGTTTGGTTATTATTCTTTTTTCATAATAAAACCCACTGCATTACTTCCTTTATAAAATAAAGTTAAAGATAGTTGATTATGTCGAATTCCAATTTTTTTTTAACATGGGTTTTAAAGATAGTACAAATTCTTATAATTTTAAAAACCTAAACGAAGAAAGACTAACAAGAAAAATAAAGGAATTGAACTCTTTGTTATTAATATTTTGTGCGGTGTTTAGTGAATAATTTATTTAATTTTAATAAAAAAAATTGCTTAGTTATTTCAAGAAAATAAAAAGTATAATAAATTTAGCTGCCACTAAATGTAATAAAAAGTTATTAAATTTTAATGTCGTGCCACAACTTAATGATTAACCAACCAAAGTGCAATGAACTAAATAACATTAGTCAAATCATTAACGATTTACTAACAAAACTAGTTAAAATTCAAATTGAAATAAAACAAAAAAACCTATTATATGAACACTAGTCAATTTTTAACTGTTATACAAAACCAAAAAAAGTTGTCAAATTTTTTGTATTATAAATTTGGTCGATACAATGAGTTCATGATGAATTACAACCTTCTCAAATTATTATATTTTACTCAACAACTAAGTTTTTTTGTTCTTTTTACAATCGTTCCTTTCCAATAATGAGTAAATGATCATACACCTTGTTGGCATAAACTTCACAATAATTGAAACATCTAGACAGCCTATAGTTTTCAACAACTCAACATTAAAAGGGAAAGAAAAACTAAGTCCCCCAATCTTAATTTAGCTAACATTCATATTGATATGACATAGAGAGTTGGGAATGAAAATCTCTAAACGGATTCGAGGCAAAATTTGTAGCCCATCAACCATTGAATTGGAAGAATAAGTCTCACTTTCTTTTCTTCTTCAGAGGTCTTAAAAAATTGTCCAAGAAGTTTGTTTTCTAAGAGAAGTGTTTCAACCTTGATGTATAATTAAAAAAATTTCTACGATCTTTGCATAACATAAGCAAATAATGAACACACCAATAAAAAGAAGATAAAATTAAATGATAAAGAATTAAGTAATTATCTTTAAATTGAACAAATATATTTTTTATAAAGGATTTACCGAACAAACTTTTATAATTAATTGAAGGTTTAATACGTATTTTGGTCCCTCTTTTCGTAGGGTCTGTTCAAATTGGTCCTACTTTTTTTCAAAAGTTCACTAAGATCTCACTTTTCGCAAAAACGATGCACATTAGTCCTTTTTGGTTACGGCGTTAAAAAAACTAACGGCACAGCTGCCCAGCTGGCACAAAACTGATGAGCTGTACATTTTTTGTTGAGGTGGCACTGTGATATGTGTTAAAATTAATTAATTTAAATTAATTTAAAAGATAGGGTTAAAAAAATTTGACAATTACATTTGGGGTAAAATCTGCATGCGATTTAGGGGCGATTTAGGGTTCAACAATCTCCTTTCCAAGAGTGCAGATTCTGATTTTTGGTGAAATCAACTTCGAGGTTAGTGATCGCATTACTGTTCTTATGTTGTTGTTATAGTAATTGATGGCATTACTGTTGTTACTATGTTGTTGTCTTGAATGGGTGGATTCTGTTTTTGCTTTTTCTTTAATGGGTGGATTCTGTTTTTGCTTTTTGTTTAATGGGTGGATTCTATATTTGTTGTGTTTAAAATATGATTATATTTGTGGCATGGTAATGCGCTTCTCCCTCTGCCACCCATATCAGTTTTTTGCGCAAACTTTGTCCTAAACCAGGGCTTGATGCTCTTTGTCCCTTGTCTCAATCTTATCCATATTCTTCCCTTCAATTTTTTTCACTCTTTCCTTTCTTCACCACATCATCTTTCTTCTCTGTACCAAAATGGGTATAATCTTGAACCGAAATGTGCAATCTTTATTGGTCCCGTCTTAAGAGTGGATTATTTTCCATCTATATGCTCGATTGGGTCATCGTTTTAACAGCTTGACATTTCTCTGTTGATTTTAGTTCTTTTTGTAACTTTTTTACTTTCAAGTTTTCTTTCTGATAAGGGTGTAGAAAAAGGCTGCGACTTTTTCAAAGGGTTGATTAGAAATGGTGTCAGGGGGCGACCCAGTTGAGTCTTTTTTCAATTCCGTTCAGGTTGTGAAGGAATCGTTGTTGCCACTGGAAGTGGGTTTTCGGAAGGCGGCGAAGGATCTTGAGCATTGTTTGGCGGGGCCAAAGAACAAGGTCAATGGTGTTTGTTTGATTGCCCCACTGACACATATCATAGTGCCACCTCAACAAAAAATATACAACTCATCAGTTTTGTGCCAGCTGGGCAGCTGTGTCGTTAGTCTTTTTAACGCCGTAACCAAAAAGGACTAACGTGCATCGTTTTTGCGAAAAGTGGGATCTTAGTGAACTTTTGAAAAAAAGTAGGACCAATTTGAACAGACCCTACGAAAAGAGGGACCAAAATACGTATTAAACCTTAATTGAACAAAGACGATTTTTAATATTTTTTCTATAATCGTTATAATGAAAATTTAAGTTTTATTTAATAAAGATACAATTCTTT